CGGCGCGCCAAGCGCAGGAACAACATGTCCATGTGCATGCGGAAAAGCTCGCCCCCCAGCTTGGTTATCTGACCGGTCCTGAAAATACTCATGATCTCGCTGCACAAAACATCTAGGCCCGTGGTCCCGCTCGCCAGCTCGAAGCCCGCCGCGCGAGCGCACCGACACAAGCATGACCAATTGAAACAGCCCTGCAAATAAGTCTTTTCCTCGCATCGCTGAAATATTTCGAGAATGGCAGGTGTCACGCAAGGGTGCGGGCCCCCCACAGGATTCGGCGTTGCCGCCTCGCCCTCAGTCTCGCGAACAATGCCGACGTTGCGTCGGGTTCCGGGCAACACCTGCATGAACCAGTGCTTCACCTTCACCACTTCAGCCAGGTATTCAGCCTCGTCGTTGCATAGCCACGGCATGGCGTCAACGCGGAGCTCCGTTGACAATTCGTGGGCAATGCGCTCTATCTCTCCCCGCGGAGGCACACAGGAGAAAATGTCCAACCAACGTGTGGTGAACAAGACACATGGTTGTCGCATGAAAGCCTGCGCCTGCGCAATTCCCTTCTCATATGCCGCTTTCCCGTCGGTCGCCCTCCACGTCTTGAACGCATTGTGGCCCAACATGGCCGCGTTCAGCAGAATGGGGCGCGCGACCTTTGGCAGAGGAGCCTGCGGAGGAAGCCTCGCTGGAACAGAAATGCCCTGAAAGTCCGACCGCGAAGGCGCGCTGAACCGCGCCTGAGCGGCTGCGAACGCATCATGCAGCAATGGGGAAGAAGTGGAAGCTTTCGGCGCATGGTGCACAAGGTCGAAATCCAAGTGCTTCACGTCTTGGAACACCAGAAATCCAAACCGCCCATTCCGGACCTCGCGCTCCAAAGCATCGACTCGAGCCTTCGGACAAGCAACGTCCTTGCAGGGCGCCTGTTCCCCCCAGCGTTGCAACCACAACTCGCCTGACATGTATTTGTGGTGCCTGTAATTGTCCGTCCCAAAAGCTAACAGAGCCCCTCTGTCAGGGGATTGGGCATTGGCCTCCACGTGGATGTCCAGGTTCTCTTTCAAACCCTGGGCGAATCCTTCGCGCCCTTCGTTGACCACGCGAAGAGGCGGCCCGACCTAGCACCCCTCCTCGTTAAGGATTGGTAAGACGGCGGTCTTCGGCGCAGCAGGCTGGGAGTCCCTGGCGAGTTTTGCAGCCTTGCGATGCCCGTCGATCTTATACACCCTTGTTCTCTTGGCCACGCACTTGCGTAGCTCTAAGACTTGCGGCGCCACCCGTAGCCGGTGGAAGTCGCGCACCAGGTCCCGCAATGTCGCCGAGGCAGGGACAAACGACAACCAGTATTGCAATACTAACGCGCCGTGCGGTTTCAGGTGCGCGCTGTCCATTGCATACCCTTGCAATCTGCTCGTGTATGCCGTGCGGACCGACTCGAAGCTGCGAGTCTGCCGCAGACTCTGATACAACGTGGCAATGTAAGGAACGGTGTGCCAGACCGTCTTACGACCGCTACCATGTCCGCGAAATTCCCTTGCACACGAGTTAGTCTGGACAGCGGCGCGAGCAGGGAATACTCCTTTGGCCTCGAAGTGGCGTCTGACGTCCTCGTCACTGCAATATGTTTTTTACCACAACCCCGGCATCGAACGTCCTGCCTAATAACCAAATGGACATGGGTGGCATCGAGAATAGCTGTAGGCCCGCACCGCCCAAGCGATGTCGGCGCAAGGCGTTCGCAGCCGCAACTGCACGCAAGAGGAATCACCAGCGGCACTTCCAACCCCGCCCACTTGACGCAGCCAGCCGACCTGTCCAGTACAGGTGCGGAAGGCGCAGCTCCGGCTCCGCCCGGCTCAACGCCAGGCGCGCATCGCCTCATAGTGCGAATCGTTTCTAAGTCTTTGTTTTGTAGCAAGCCTGTTCCGAAATGGTGGTTGATCACTTTGGCGGCGCCGTCCTTGACCACCGCAAGCATCTTCATGATGCGCTTGGAACGAGGCAGCCTGGCGAGCAAGGGGTTCGAAATCTGATGGCCAGCACGTTCTCTGACGCTCGCCCTGCCCAGGCGCGGTAGCAACCGCAACGCCTTCATCAAAGCAGCGCTAGTCATGCGCTCACCCCGGTGCTTTGGCAAAGCAGAGTCCTTGGCGATGGCCATCCTCTTGCGCCCCTTCCGGCGCACTTGCGGCTGAAGGCCCATGGCTTTGGGCACCGAGGACTGGCATGTCTGCGCAGCCTCGTTGTGGGCCCCATCACCTCCATGCACCAAGCGTCGCAACTCTTCCAGCCCAGTAACCCTGAAAGGCGACACCATGCATGCGACGATGTGTTCGTTTCGGTTCGTTGGACGCCGCGAAATGTGAACCGTCTTCTTTGAGCCAATAAGTGTACGGCTTTGCGTTTGAGTGGTTGCGCAAGAGGCCCTCAGGAGCCGCCCAAGACGGCCCAAGAGGCCCCCAAGACGGCCCAAGAGGCGCCCAAGATGGCCTCAAGAGGACCCCAAGGGGGGGAGCGCGATCCGAAAATCCGAGCACTCCGCCCCAAGAGGGCCCCCAAAGGCCCAAAGAGGCCCCAAGAATCCCCCAAGAGGCCCTCAGGAAACTCCTAAGAGGCCCCCAGGAGGCCCCAAAAACGCCTCCAAGACGCCCCCGAGAAGCCGCCCACGAGACCCCATCAGCCATCCGAGTGGCTTCAGCCCCACACAACCACGCAGCCCCAACGATGCGATATGGGCCGGCGGAATGAGCGAAGCGATTAAATAAGTGCACGGCTTTGCGTTTGAGTGGTTGCGCAATTGTGCGATAACCTAAAAAACTTCGCGGATGTCCAAATGAAATCCCACCAGCCCTCTGGGCGTAGCTCCACTGGGCCCGAGAGGTTAGAACTGCCAAGATGGCCCATGATGGCCCAAGAGCGGCCCAAGTGCGGCCCAAGAGCGGCCCAAGAGGGCCCCGATACGCCCTTTTTGAACCCCCGAGGGGGGGGACATAAGAAAACCTTCCTCATTTTTGAGCCATGGGGCCCAAGATGGCCCCAAGAGACCTCTCAGACGCCCCCAAAGAGCCCCAAGAGGGCCCCAATATGGCCCTAAAAGAGCCCCAAAAGAACCCCAAGAGGACCCCAAGAGGACCCCAAGAGAGCCCCCAGATAGCTCCAAGAGACCTCCGAAAACCTCTCACAACAACACCTCCACTCGCCTGGGCATCGTTGCTGGATGGGCTGGTGGGGATACGCGAAGCGTCAAAAATTACATACAACAAACAGTGTTTGCACTCAGTGGCGTCCCACTTATGTTGCTAAGGATATGGATGGGTGCTGCAGGGTTCCGCCACGTTCTGGGCGCAACCTATGACACAAGCTATTCGACGGGTCCGGAGAGGCTCCGCCACGTTCCAAGCGCAACCTATGATTCAACGCATGGCGCATCATATTCGACGGGTCCAACAAAATCCCGCCACGTTCCGGGCGCAATCTATGGCGCATCCTGTGGCACCATTTGGGTTGCCCATCGTCGTCGCCATCATCATCAGCATCATCATCGTCCTCGCCGTCTTCATGACCATCATCATGGTCATCCTCATGACCATCATCATGATCATCCCCATCCCTTCTCCTCCCCTCATCATTATCAACCTCATCATGGTAATCGTCAGTATCATCATCATCATGATCATCATCAGTGTCGTCATCATCATCATCATCGTCATCATCATAATAAGTCCAGCAAGGCCGGCTGGGCCGGTAACGGGCTGGTGGGCCAGGCCGGTAGGACCGGTACTTAACGGCCGGCAGGGCCGGTAAGGCCGGCATAGGCCGGTATAGGGCTGCTGGTATAAGCCGGTAAGGCCAGGGGAAGGCCAGGGGCTGGCAGGGCCGGTTGGGCCGGCAAGGCCGGCAGGGCCGGCAGGGCCGGCGGGGCCGGTAGGGCTGGCAGGGCCGGCAGGGCCGGCAGGGCCGGCAGGGCCGGCAGGGCCGGCAAGGCTGGCAGGGCCGGTAGCGACCGGCAGGGCCGGCAGGGCCGGCAGGGCCGGCAGGGCCGGCAGGGCCGGCAGGGCCGGCAGGGCCGGCAGGGCCGGCAGGGCCGGCAGGGCCGGCAGGGGCCGGCAGGGCCGGCAGGGCCGGCAGCGGCCGGCAGGGGCCCAGGGCCAGCAGGGCCGGCAGGGCCGGCAGTGGCCGGCAGGGCCGGCAGCGGCCGGCAGGGCCGGCAGCGGCCGGCAGGGCCGGCAGGGCCGGCAGGGCCGGCAGGGCCGGCCGGCAGGGGGGCCGCCGCAGGGCCGCCGGCAGGGCCGCCGGCAGGGCCGGCAGGGGCCGGCGAGGCCGGCAGGGCCGGCAGGGGCCGGCAGGGGCCGGCAGGGGCCGGCAGGGCCGGCAGGGCCGGCAGCGGCCGGCAGGGCCGGCAGCGGCCGGCAGGGCCGCCAGCGGCCGGCAGGGCCGGCAGGGCCGGCAGCGCATTTTTAGTCTCTGTTTTTTTTCCAAATCCCCAGGTCTAAAAACCATGAACCCCAAACTTCCGACCAACGCAACGTTTCTTCGCCATTTTCGGCCCCTGGGGACTCTCGCAAGGCTCTGGAGACTGTCAAACACAACTCGAAATACAAAGCCGGCCCTGGGGAAAGTTTCGGGACTTCTGGTGACCCAGTGCTGAAAAAAATCAATGCATCGAACTTCTGGGATTTGAGGTTCGGAGGTCGAGGCCCGAGGTTTTGGATGTTGCTCCCACTCTTGGGGGCTTCTGGGGCGCTTCTCGCCGCCACGGCTTGATCCGCCTCGGACTTCTGGTCGGACTGCATCCTTGACAGGGCCGAGGGCTGAGTTTTCACACCCCAGCCCAGACCCCTTCGCGTTGTGCGAAAACGCTACGGAACGTCCTTAGGCATCCTCGGCTCCATGGGGTCCTCTGGTGGTGGGCCCCAGAGGCGTCCAGGACGAGAAGCCGGTCCCCGGGAAGGGGGCGAGATTTTGAGGGGCCCATGTTCCCTGAGATCCGATGTCGCGAAAGACTGCAACATCGCGAGAAGTCATACATTGGACCCCCATTCCCTGTCTTCCTGCCGCATCTCTCGAGCGGATCGACCTGTGAGAGCCCAAGCCGAAACCAGCCGATAAAACCTGGCGTTAGACAATTTCGACGCCCAGATCTCAGGGCCGCAAAGAAAACACGACGTTGGAGATCTGGAGAGGGCAGGGTTCTATACGATGGCTTCTCCTGGACAACCTGCGCGGCGGCCGCGGCCGCCGAGACGGAGGCGCCTCTGGCGACAGCTGGAGTGGCGTTATGGCTCTGCGGCGAGCCGCCCAGCGCGATCGCAATGCTGTCGGGGCCGCGTCCCGCTTCTGCGTCGGCGGGTGCGTCGAAATCCTGGCGCTCCCCACCGGAGAGACTCTTGTGACGAGGACTGGGGGCTGGCACGTGCTTCTTGCGCACGAGCGCGATCACTTCCTCGCACTGCTCGAGCGAGTAGTAGACGTTGAAATAGCGAAGCCCTGCTCTCAGTTCTTTTATGCTGACCGTGCCATCAGGAATACCAGCAGAGTCGAAGGTCTTAAAGAATGTCAGGAACATCTTGTGCTCGCGCTCGTTCAATGGATTGTCATCATCGTGCATGCGCTTCGCAAGCTTTTCAAACGTGGCCCTTCTTCTTGCCCGCCTTCGCTCTAAACTTAAGGTGGCCGAGACGACTGCCAATTCCACAACAGCTAAACCCGTGTATACCAAGCTCAACATCAAGATTGCATGCAGCCAGGTCCTTTCCGAAAGCGGAGGCAAGGTTTGCTCCACTGAGTTTAAATGACTCAGCATTGTAAGCACAGGGATTGTCGCCAAGGCAGCTCGCGCAGGTGCGGACTCGGCGTCAATAAAAAAACCCACATAAGACATGCAGACAAATAGTACCGCATACGCCACGTCTCTCCTCAAGTAAAATGCGGACCTGCGCTGTAGAATGAAACTGATGGTCAAAACATCATACTCCCTCGCATCAGACCCAAAATTGTAGCCTTCTTTCGCAATCGCTGCAAAAGAATCAGCAACAGTCCATAAAGTGTTTTGCACTGGGCCATCGGCATCGCCATGTCTGTCCACAAAAGTGTTGCCTATTGGTCCCAAGTTTACGCTGCTGTCTGGCTCGGCATAGGACATGATCCTTATAGGGCACCTTTGGCTATCGAACGGCATCCTTCCAAAATCCATGGCGCACGAAAACTTGTGTAATATCTTGATGCTTCTGGTAACCTGCCCCGACGGCATCACCTGGAAAGAGTACGTGCCGTAGGACTCGGTCAGGACATTGTCGAAGAAGAGCGAGGGCGACCAGATCAGGAGGGGGTCCTGCACGGGCGGGCCATCCAGATTGCGCTTCAGCTGCAAGTCGAGGTGGTCGAAGCAGTCGCCCCACTCCTTCGCGAACGCCAGCCGCTCGTCCAGCCACGCGGACCGCCAGAAGCCGGAGAGGGTCAGCGTCTGCCCGGTCTGATCGACCCCCACGAGCTTCTTGACGTAGATCTGCTGCTCCACCCGCGCAGGGGCGCCGCCCGCGGCGCCTGGGTGATCCAGCCTGCTGGGTAAGCACGGGGGCACCGATACCGCTACTCCCCGGACCTCTGCCGGGGTTCATTCCGGCCAGGCTTTCGAGGAGAATCCAGCCGTGCTGGTGAGGGCTCTCCAGGACGAGCAGCGGCATCGGCTCCTCCAGAGGCCTCCCAGATGGGGTTCGAGAAGATGGGGTCGGAGGATCACGCCGCATCGGCGGAGCTTTGGCGCCGCCAGCGTGGAGAAAATCGGGCTCTGCATCGAGCCGCATCGGCGGTGCGGCGCGATCCGCCGACCCCATTTGCTCGGACCCCACCTGGGAGGCCTAGAGCATCCTCCTCCTCCGAAGCCTGTTGTACGCCCGGGCCGATGTGAGGTTCCGAAGCAGCTCCTGCTCGGAGGGCGCCAACGATGCGTACACCCGCCGATCCTGGCCGAGCCCATCCTGGGCCCAGGGCTGGTCTGGCCAGGGATCGGTGAGGTGGTCAGCGGACGTCCCCTTTTCTCCTGCCGCCTCTTCGAGGGCTCTGAGCGCGCGGTGACAAGCATGAAGAGGAGAGGAGGAGGAGGAGGGGGAGGAGGAGGAGGAGAAGGAGGAGGAGGCGGGGGAGGAGGAGGAGGAGGAGGACGAAGAGGAGGGAGGAGGAGGAGGAGGGCGGAGGAAGAGGAGGAGGAGGAGGAGGAGGAGGAGGAGGAGGAGGAGGAGGAGGAGGAGGGGAGAAGAAGAGGAGTATGGAGGAGGAAAACAAGGAGGAAGACGAGAAGGAGGACCATAGTAAACTCAAGACTCATCAAACATGTTGCAATACATAATCCCTCCAACTTCCCTCTTCATGAATCCTTGCAATGATACGTTTTCAATGCTAGAAGTTCCCCTTTTGGAAAACAACATCTTGATAATCGATAATCGTGCCAAAGCATATGTCCTGGGACTTCGACGCCACGAATCAACGTGACTGTTGCGTTATGACGATCCTAAGCGTGCCAAGCACACCTTCTGACTTCAACATCGCGAATCAACATGACTGTTGCGTCCTGACAACCCTATATTCAATCGTGCCAGAATTTCATTCCTGATACTTCAACCGTTCGAGCCGTTGAAACTGTTGACTTTCAAAACGAATGTACACGCCGCTAGGGCGAGCGCCACATTTTGAAAACCTCCCGCCCTCCATCCGCGAGACTGTTGCAAACTTTTAAAACAATCCGTGCGCCGCTAAGGCGAAATACACATCTTGAAGACAACCCGCCGTCCAACACTGCTGCAAACTGTCTAGACGAATGTGCGCGGCGCAAAGGCGAGAGCCACATGTTGAAAACGGCCCGCCCTCTATCCTTAAAGCAGCTGCAGAACTTCGAACTTCAGGGTCACACATGGTGGGGAAGCCTCCGGCGAACCGCCCGGCCCGCCCCATCGACACTTCTGGGGGTGCGACAGGGACGAGTTGAGGCATGGAGGAGGAGGCGCATAGCTGGCGCCCTCCGATCCTGCGGGTCGGCGCCGAGGCAGCGCACCGGTCGGGCGGCCAGGTCGCCAAGCCCGCGCTGCGCGTTGCCACCGCGCGCGCCCGCGCGGTGGCCCGCATCCGCGGGGGCCACGGTCGGCGGCAGCAGGGCCAGCAACGCCACCCGCGGGGCTGCCCCGCGGCGGGCCCGGCGCATCGCCGCCGCGCCCGCGCGGTGCGGCCTCTCGCGGGCGGACTCGCGAGGCGGGCTGGTCGCGGGGCCTTCGGTTGTGACGTGTAAGAGCTGGGCAGGGGCTCGAAGCCAGGGCGACACCGGATTCGGCCAGACTCGGCTCACGGGTCGTTTTTGGACGGTCGGATGACCGCGCGGCCTTCGATTGTGTGTGTATATATATATATATAGATCCTTTTCTATATTTTTACAATCGGGGGGGGTGGGGGACCCCCCCCCCCCCCGAGACCGGACCCCCTCGAGGTCCGATCCGGAATCCATGGACTCGCCGGATTCCCCGGACTCGCCGGACTCCACGAGACTTTGGATCTCTGGACGTCCCTGACGTCCAGCGGGAGGGCCAGCGGGAGACTCCCAAGACAGCCCCAGAACCTCCAAGACGCTCCAAGAAGCCCTCCAAGAGGCTTCCGAAAAGCCCCAAGAGGCCACAGTTGTTGATTTCCCATTGTGTTTTTCGATGTTTTGGGCCTTCTTGCCTTTTCGGCTTCCCGACGTTCCAAGACGGCCCAAGAAGCTCCCACGACCGCCGCAGCACGGCCCAAGAGGCCCCGTACACAGCCCCAACACGGCCCAAGAGGACTCCCGCGGTCGTGCTCGCAGGCAGCGGGCCGAGCCGCGTGGTGTCCCAGCGATTGGGCACCACGGTGTGGGCAGCTGGGAAACGCGGGCGACCGGTTCGCAAAGTTGCCGTGCTTCACGCCCAGAACGCCGCCGCCATCCAGCTGTGGACCGTCCTGATCCGGCAGGCTGGAGCCGCGCGCGTGAAGGCTTTCCAGGAGCACAAGGCCGCGACCCTTGCTAAGTTCAACCTCGACGTGGTGCGGCCAGTGTATTCATTCTGTGAGCAGGCCACCCTCACGGATTACGGCGCGCAATTCGCCTTCTGCGAAGAGTCGCAATTGCTGGCTCGGCTCGGGTGCGCTGCAGCAGAAGAGGACTCAGAGGCCGGGAGCGACTGGGAGAACGTGGCAGCCGGCGACGAGCACGAGGTCGACGAGGCCGCTGCTGCTGGCGGCGCCTGACGGCCGACCACTTAATTCGGAATGCAAGTGCGCTGGGACGCAAAACAGAATTCCTCTCCCTGACACGTCCTGCTGCTGGCCACAGACTCGACTCCAGGAAACGAACTACAAAGAACATGTGTGTGTGTGCGCAACATAATTGCGGGAAATCCGTTGTAAACTGGGGATTCGGTCCACTTCCCAAGAAGGTCGTGGGTCGACGTTCGAGGGTCGAGGTTCGAAGGTCAAGAGTCGAACGAGGAAGGCAAACGATCCTGGATCGAAGTTCGACACTTCAGGTTTTCTTATTATCTTCCGTTCTTTCGAGGTCTCCGGCTCTCTCGCCGCCACATTGCAGAGGCCGCTCCGAGATTCGGTCCCAAACGCAACCCATGATTAGCTTGCCGCATTCCAAGGCCAACGCGGACGAAGTGAACAGCCAATTATGCTCGACTCGAAGGACCAAGGTGCAGGCGCGAAGCGCCAATGCAGTCTTGTGTGTATATATATATACATAAAGAAATACTTGAACCATCGCGCGCTTCGCGCGCGCTCAAGTTCTAGCTAGGCTTGATAGGCTAACTCCTGTAATATCATGTTGGTCGCTTCTTGCGTCAAAGGACTCCATTGGAGGCCCTGCGCAAGCCTCGGAATCGTATAGAAGGGGAAGTGCGGAAACGCAGAAATCATTGGTAATTCTCTTTAGATATTCAGCGATTTCGGGCCCTCAAAGGCTTCCTGGGTTCTTTTTTGGGAGGTGAGGGCCTCGAATTGTGGTCTGTTGTGCAAGAATAGACTGGGGGCCAAACTTGGAAAAAAGAAGAAGGAACTGCGGGATTTACATTTTTTCCTGTTCCTCGGCGTGCCTCGCGGACTTTGTTAGCCGGGCCGCTCAGGGGTGTGGGATCTTCCGGACCCCCTGGGGGTTCTGGAGGCCTCCTGGAGGCCTGGAGAGCCGTCGGAAGGGTGTCTCGGGCTGCGCGGGAGCGTGTTGGGCCGTTCTTTCCGTTCTGGGGGCTCCTTGGGGTCGTCATGGGCTGTCCTTGGGCGTCTTGGGGTCTCCCCCCGGGAAGCCGGGAGGCGCGGTACCGGCCAGATGTCAGGGGATGTGTTGGATCTCCAAGTAGGAATCCACTTTGAAAAAAAAGAGGGGGCGCGGTACCGGGCGCCTCTTCAGCAATTTTGGAGCTTTCTTGGCCCGTCTTGAACCCGTCCTAGGAGTCTTTTGGGTGGTCTTGGGGCGGTCTTGGACCGTTGGAAGCTCGAAAACGCGAGAAGACCAAAAACATAAAGAAAACAATCAAAATCGAAGGTGTTGACCTCTTCGGGCTATCCCGGGACGCCTCTCGGACCTCTCTTGGGGCCTTCTGGAGGCCTCCTGGAGGCCTGGAGAGCCGTCGGAAGGGTGTCTCGGGCTGCGCGGGAGCGTGTTGGGCCGTTCTTTCCGTTCTGGGGGCTACTTGGGGTCGTCATGGGCTGTCCTTCGGCGTCTTGGTGTCTCTCCCCGGGAAGCTGGGAGGCGCGGTGCCGGCCAGATGTCAAGGGGATGTGTAGGACCCCCGAAAGGAGTCCCACTTAGACAAAAAAAAAAATACTTCTGGGAATTCCTTCTTTTTTCCCAACCCTCCTTGGTTGGGTATTCGTTTTGAATAGAGCAATGTGGTCTCCACTCCCTGCTTCCTGCTTCCCGCCTCCCTCTTGCCTCCTCCTGTCTTGCCTGCGGGGGGCTGCGATCTGTGAAACTGTCGCCACTTTCGAGGCCTGCTGGGGGGCCCAGCACAATGACGCTACACGCAGATTCAAATTAGACCTCGCCATCCTTGGGGGGCTGCGATCTTTGAAACTGTCGCCACTTTCGAGGTCTGCTGGGGGGCCCAGCACAGTGACGCCACACGCAGATTCAAATTACACCTCGCCATCCCTGGGGGCTGCGATCTGTGAAACTGTCGCCAATTTCGAGGTCTGCCAGGGGGCCCAGCACAGTGACGCCACACGCAAATTCAAATTAGACCTCGCCATCCCTGGGGGGCTGCGATCTGTGAAACTGTCGCCACTTTCGAGGCCTGCTGGGGGGCCCAGCACAGTGACGCCACACGCAGATTCAAATTAGACCTCGCCATCCCTGGGGGGCTGCGATCTGTGAAACTGTCGCCAGTTTCGAGGCCTGCTGGGGGGCCCAGCGCAGTGACGCCACACGCAGATTCAAATTAGACCTCGCCATCCTTGGGGGGCTGCGGTCTGTGAAACTGTCGCCACTTTCGAGGCCTGCTGGGGGGCCCAGCACAGTGACGCCACGGGCGGATTCAAATTATACCTCGCCATCCCTGGGGGGCTGCGATCTGTGAAACTGTCGCCACTTTCGAGGCCTGCTGGGGGGCCCAGCACAGTGACGCCACGGGCGGATTCAAATTAGACCTCGCCATCCCTGAGGGGCTGCGATCTGTGAAACTGTCGCCACTTTCGAGGCCTGCTGGGGGGCCCAGCACAGTGACGCCACACGCAGATTGAAATTAGACCTCGCCATCCCTGGGGGGCTGCGATCTGTGAAACTGTCGCCACTTTCGGGCCTGCTGGGGGGCCCAGCACAGTGACGCCACGCGCGGACCCAAACTAGACCTCGCCATCCCTGGGGGGCTGCGATCTGTGAAACTGTCGCCACTTTCGAGGCCTGCTGGGGGGCCCAGCACAGTGACGCCACGCGCGGACCCTAATTAGACCTCGCCATCCCTGGAGGGCTGCGATCAGTGAAACTGTCTCCACTTTCGAGGCCTGCTGGGGGGCCCAGCACAGTGACGCCACGGGCGGATTCAAATTCGACCTCGCCATCCCTGGGGGGCTGCGATCTGTGATCCCCGTTTTCGAAGTGGCTAGGAGTGCTCAGGAATTGTAACTCATCAGCTTTATCAAGCCCTTGTCCTGTAGCCAATGTCCTGCGAGTCTCCCAAATTCCGTCTGCAGGCATATGTAACCCTCGCTCCGTCATCGCCCCCCTTATAAAGTATCCTAAACTATTTGCACCCCGCGTTTGCGCAGGGGTTGGGTACGTCGCCAGGGGAATTTTTCTCTCTAAATCCTCGATCTTCGAAGGTTGGAAGCGGGAAAACGTGAGAAGGCGAAAAACATTGGAAAAACCATTGGAAATCAACGATTTTACCCTCTTTGGTTTCTCTCGGGACGGCTCTCGCAGCTCTCTTGGGCTGTTCTTGGGGCCTCGTCGGGGTCTTTTTGGGGCCTCTCAGGGATCGGGGGTGTGCTGGGGGCCTCTGGGGGGTCCCGGAGGCCTCTCGGAGGTCTCTGGAAGCCTCCTGCTCCCGCTTTTGGGCCCATCTTGGGCCTGTTCTGGGGTGGTCTTGGGCTGTCCTGGGCCCCTCTTCGGCAGTCTTGGAGCCTTCTTGGCCCGTCTTGGGGCCGTCCTGAGGGTCTCCGGGGTGATCTTGGGGCGGTCTTGGGCGCCTCGTCGGCGCTCTTGAACCGTTGGAAGCTCGAAAACGCGAGAAGACCAAACACATCGTAAAAACAAATGGTCATCGACGATGTTGGCCTCTTCGGGCAGTCCCGGGACGCCTCTCGGACCTCTCTTGGGGTCTCTTGGAGGCCACCTGGGAGCCTCGAGACCCGTCGGAAGGCTGACTTGGGCTGTTTGGGAGCGTCTTGGACCATCCTTTCGCATTCTGGGCGCTCCTGGGAATCGTCTTGGGCCCTCCTGGAGCGCTGTGGAGTCTCCCCGGAACGCCCGGGGGAGCGGTACCGGGAGCGTCCCCGAGATGTCACGGGGAGGTGTGGCACCCGGGGGGGGGGGCGGCATTTATTTAGACACATGTGTGTGTATGTATGTGTGTGTGTATGTATGTGTATGTATGTATGTATGTATGTATGTATGTATGTATGTATGTATGTATGTATGTATGTATGTATGTATGTATGTATGTATGTATGTATGTATGCATGCATGCATGCATGCATGCATGCATGCATGCATGTATGTATGTATGTATGTATGTATGTATGTATGTATGTATGTATGTATGTATGTGTGTATATATATATGTATGTATGTATGTATGTATGTGTGTGTGTACGGACGCATCGGGGGCCGTCCACTCTAGCCAAGGGGGAATCCTCTG